GGGGGCAGGTGCCGGGGCGGGGGGGGGGGTCGCCCCCCTGCCCAGTGGCTGAAGCGGCGGAGGCGGGGCTCTGACAGCCGGCCTCTCTGGGCCCCAGCTTGCGCCCCCTGGACCTGGAGTTCATGAAGCACCTCAGCAAGGTGGTGAACATCATCCCGGTCATTGCCAAGGCGGACACCATGACCCTGGAGGAGAAGTCTGAGTTCAAGCAAAGGGTGAGGGCTGCCCTGCCCCCCCCTCTCCCTGTCCCTGTCCTGCCCTGCCCCCGCCTCCTCCGCTCCCCAGCTCCCCAGCGCAGCCTCTCCCACCCCTGGTTATCACCTCCCCCACTTGCCGCCGGCTCCCTCCTAACTCTGACCAGAGTCTGTCTGTTGCCCACCCTCCAACTGTCCCTGCACGGACGTCCCCTCACCCAGAAGCCCCTGCCCGCTGGGGGCTGTCTGAGGAACTGTACTCCTGGCCGGCTCCACCCCCCTGGGCTCTGCGGTCGGGCAAGGGGGCAGCAGGCGGGGAGGAGGGTGGGACGAGGACAAGGATAGCTGTTGCCTCAAGAAACTTTCCATCGAGTGGACCCGGCGCTGATGGAGGCTTCGCAGGAGGCAGGACCTCAGCCGGGGTTGAGAAAGGGCCAACGGGCCGGGCTGGGCGGGCGGCTGGCCCCTCCTCATGCGCTTGAGGCCGGTCCACACCGGCAGTGCTCGTGACCACTGCCCGTGCAGACCGGACTGGGGCTGTGCGGCTGTCTAGACCCCAGCCTGATGGCCCTGAGCCCCGGCTTCCGGCCTCAGCCGGCTGTGATGGCTTCCGGCCGGGGTCGCCCTTACTCAGGCTCTGCCAGCTGCCCTGGCTGCGCTCAGAGGCGACGGTGGGTCGCTGTGGACACTCAGCCACTGACCTCCGTGCCCACGCGCCCACACACCTCACACACGCCCTCTTCAGCGCCCTGGCACCTGACACCCTCGCTTCCCCGGCCTCTAGGTTCGCAAAGAGCTTGAAGTCAACGGCATTGAATTCTATCCCCAGAAGGAATTTGATGAGGACCTGGAGGACAAGACGGAGAACGATAAAATCCGGGTGGGTGTCCTCGGGCCCCTAGGCTGGGTGCCAGGGGCCTCCTGGCCTCGCACCTGCTCTTCCCTGTCCCCGGCCCTGCCTTGCCTGACCCAGCACAGAGGTGACGCGGGGTGGGGGGGCGGACTGGGGCACCGCCCACTGTGAACGCACATGGGTCCCCCCGAACCCGGGAAGCCGTGTTCCCCTCTGTCCCCAGACTACCCTAAAGCCTTTTCTGACCCAACAAAGTCCATCAAAGCCAGGTGTGGGGTGACTGGAAGGGCAGCAGGCAGGAGGAGCACCGGGCTGGAGTCCTGGGTATGTGTGCTCTGGGCACACCCTGCCTCAGTTTCCCCAGTGTGAAGTGCAGAGGTCAGGTTCGGTGCGTAGCTCCTGAACTCTTTCCTAGGAGAGCCCTTTAAAACCGATAACTCTCAGACACAACTCCAGTAAGGAAAAGGACACAGCTGTGCCAGGCAGCCGTATGGGGCCCGGTGCCCGGGGACACGGGGTACAGGGCATGGGGCCTGCCTTCTTGGACCCCTGGGGCCGCCTGGCTCGGGACCAGGTGCGGATGTTCAAATAGAGACATCTCACCTGCTGCAGGTGAGACAGTCAGTGAGCTGAAGAGTCGACTCGACTCAGCTTTAAAAATAATGCACGTAAATCTTGAATGGTGA